AATAATAATTTTAATAATTTGGATTAAAAGTTGTGGTAAACATTAGCAAGTGTGTATTTATACTTTAACTGAATACTTTTATATTTACATTTCTCTTTCTTTAGTTCCACGTTTTGCAGTAGTGTGCAGTGTAGGCAGCTGTTATTGAAATTTTTGTGCAAAGGCCAATTAAAACAAGGTATGTATTAGATTTCAAAATAAAATCCATTTTTTTAATTTTAATTCATTTATTTCAGAGATTTCTACTTTTTTCTTGTACAACAATTCAAAATAAATTATTTGGACTAAACGCTGTGTGTATTTTTGCTTATGTAAATTTAGCCCTTACATTCCTCCCTTTCTTACGACTGATGGAGACTATGGACCGTCACAAGGTCTTGACGGTTTATTTGCACCAGATACAGCACATCGTTGAACGTTCGTCGATACGTGATTCGTTTACCTTTTGTGTGTTTCGTCAATGCGTCGCGTATAGTTCGTTCGAGTTCCGCCGGCCAAGTGATGCAAACCTTTTTTTGTTTGGAGCGAGTGAACCCATTCATCTCCAGCTCCATTTGCTGCGAGTCGCAATCGAGATCAATCACATCCTCTTGTTCCATTGCGTGAGTTGTGTAGGATTTACTGGGACTGGGTTCAACCGATATTGTTCCTATTTCTTTTTCAGAAGATTCCGCTGCTGTGGTTACTTCGCTCTTATTTTTTTACCTCCACCCTTGAGCTTTAGATACTTGACTCCTGTCGCTTGGAGTAATGCGTGGAATCGCTCGACTATTTTCTGCTATTGAGTGTTGGTGCTGGCTGGAGTCACTTGGACCCACCTTACGTTTTGACGAATTTTTTGTACTTTGCTTCAACACATTCTTGGATTTTTTATTGATTGCTGCAGGCTTTGGCAAGTATTGACATTTTGTTCTATTGTTGTTTATTTCGATCATTCTTGTGTGAAAGTTTTCCGCGGTAATTTCGACTTTCGATAATAGTTCACTCATCCTGCTGGGTGTATGTTCTAACGACGACTGAGAACTTCCTCATGGCACACGTCCTTTAAATACTTGAATAGATAGCGGGTATTTGTTTTATGTTGCAGTTAAATGTTAATGTCCTTTATACTTTAAGGAAAACCGTAGTGCACCCTAAGGTCGGCAATATGCGCCTTAGTTAATTTTGCTGTATTTTCTGCGCTAAGCTCAATTATCACTGGCGATATAAATTTTTGTACTTTGAATGGACCGTCGAATTTCGGTTCAAGTTTCGCTGAAAAATAGTTTTTGGCGTTTGAGAGGGGATGTTGTCTAACCCACACTAATTGATTTATCCGTGGCTTCCAATTTCGACGACGCAAGTTATAATACTTCGCTTGATTGGTTGCGGCTTGTTGCAGGTTGTGTTGAACGGTTTTGAACACACGTTGCAGTTTCTCGTTTATTAAGCGTCTTAATAGTTCGGTTCGCTAGTTCAGTAGGATTCTCCAGTAACGTGTGCGGGGCTGTGGTTTTGTGTTTAATACTCATCTTTACCAACCATTGTTTGAAAACATTACTAGTGAATTGGGGTCCGTTATCAGTAATGATATGTTTGGGTGACCCAAATGTGGCTAATATTCTTTCTCTCAACGCTTTGATCACATTGTCGGATGTCGCTCGACGCATTGGTATCAGTTGCGTCCATTCCGAAAATTTATCTAGTATCACCAGCAGCATTGTATTTCCATTTTTCGATCGCGGTAGTGGCCCAATAAAATCGGCTGTGATGGTAGCAAATGGCTCCTCAGGGATCGTAGTCAGCATCATTCCTGCCGGTTTGTTTGAACTTGGTTTGTATTTTTGACACAATTCACATCTTTTTACATGTTTAGCAATATCACGTGACATACCGGGCCAATAATACTGATTCTGTATACGCGCGTGGTCTTGCGTATACCAAAATGTCCGGCCGGTGTGTTATCGTGATTCTCCTCTAAGACTCGTTGACGCACATTTTCAGGCACACATAGTCTCCAACGACTTTCCATATGACTTTGATATTGCTGCAATTCTAAAGCCCATCTGGCCACTTGCCCTGTTGGATTTTTGATGGAATTGAGCTATTTCAATACTGAGTGGTCGGTTATAATGACGAAGTGGTACCCCTCCAAGTAAGGCCTCATTTTGCGCACTGCCCATACAATTGCTAAACACTCCTTCTATGTTGTAGAATATTTTACCTCGGTTTCGGTCAAATGCCTACTAGCGTACGCTATCACTTTCTCCACGCCCTCAATATCTTGTGTTAATACGGCACCTAAGCCAATGTCACTGGCATCGGTTTGCAGACAAAATTTCATATTGTAATCAGGACATGTTAGAATCGGTGCTTCGGTTAGGCGTGTTTTAATTTCCTGAAATGCTCTTTGATGCGTTTCTGTCCACCTTCAATGTTTGCCCTTTTTTAATAGCGTCGTGAGTGGGTGCATAATTTGTGCAAAGTTAGGTACGAAGCGACGATACCATGAAGCTACACCAAGAAATTGCCTTATTTATTTGATATTGGTTGGAGTTGGGAGATCTCGAATAACGGCGACTTTATCCGGATCAGTGTGGATTCCTTGGGCACTAATCATGTGTCCCAAGTATTTTGTCTCCGTTTTGAAAAATTCACATTTATCCTTAGATTGGCTGCTTTGAGACGGCATAGTACTTCCTTTAGGTTACGTGCGTGATGTTTGAATGTGGTACCCGTGACAATGATGTCGTCCAAGTACGCAAATGCATGTGGCTCCATGTCCGCTCCAATAACTTAATCTAATGCTCGTTGAAATGTAGCCAGTGCGGAGTGGAGGCCAAATGGTAGTACGCGCCACTGGAATAATCCTCGTCCTGGTACTGTAAAAGCTGTGAATGGTTTACTCTTCTCGTTCATGGGAATCTGACAATAACCATCTTTTAAATTAATGCTACTTATAAATTTTGCATTGCGAAGGCGTTCTAAAATGTGGTGAATACGAGGCAAGGTTTAGGCATCTGGAACGGAATTCGCATTTAGTTGCCGGTAGTCTACACAGAAACGCCATGTGCCATTCTTCTTCTTCTGTACCAGGACCACCGGGGCACTATAGGGACTTTTGGATGGCTCGATATAATTTTTCTCAAGTAGTTCATTCACTTTTTCGTTGATAATTTGCTGCATTGCAGGAGTCTTAGGAAAGTATCTTTGTTTAATAGGCCGGTCGTCCTTCATCACTAACTTGTGGGTGGTGATATTAGAGACGCCACTAATGACATGGAAATATTTAAGTTCTTTATCCAGGAATTTCTTAATGGTAGCTTCGTGTTCTGTTTGGGCTAGAGATGCACTGGATATATACTCCTCCACTGGTGTTGGGTCCGTATTGTTCATGACGATGTGATAACCTCCCACTTGCATCGATGTGCCTATTGCTTGAAAATAGTCCAAAGCTACCATGATTTCATCCGTACTTTCATTTAAAATTTACAATTTCTATTGCATATTCTTTTGCCCCAATTGAACGTTTGCCTATATATACGTATGAATACACCTTGTGGTATTATCCGCAAGACGAACCTTTGTGGAAATCTTATTTTCATGTAACGTGAGGCCCAATTTTTGAACCAGTGCCAGGCTGATGAAACTGCTCGACGCTCCTGTATCTAATATAGCTTCCAGGGGGTGGTCGTTCAATCGTATTCGTGCTAGCAGACGATTACGTTTTAGGCAAATGGGTTCTGCGGCGTTGGGACAGGATTGAATCGTGGGTTGCTTGCTTCTCCTGTCATAGAGCGGACCCGTCTGAAGCTTCCCGAATCCTTACGACAACATTCGATTGTGCGGACTCCTTTGGTACCACATTCCCAACAAAATTGTATTGAACGATTTTGACATTGTCTCGCTACGTGTCCCGATACTCCATATCGACGTCAGGCCTGTTGGGGATTTGAGACTTTCTCTTCGTAAGCTTTAAGTAGCTGGTTGCGTTCTTCCTTCGGACGGCTGTATTGAGGTTTGTCTTGCTCATGTTTCAACGTCTCAAAGTCTTCCGCTAAAACGATTAGTTCATCCAACGTCGTAAAGTCCCTTCGTTTGATATACATCTGGTAGCTGATTAGAGAGTTCCTGTATATCCTTTCTAGTTGTTGTGATGGAGAAATATCAGCCTGTCGCATTAAATTCTGAAGTGTTAGAACATAGTCTTTAAACGGTTCTTCCTGTCTTTGCTGTCTCGACCGGATTTCAGTTTTTCGAAGTATCGCGCAGGTAAAAAGAATTAAAGGAAGTCGTTTTTAAAATCAGACCAAAGTTGCCACTGTCTATTATTATTCCGATACCACATTAAAGCTCTTTCCTTCAGGAGTTCTGGCATTGTGCGTGGAATAGCATTGAGGTCGATATTTTCCATGTTCGCTACTTCTTCAACTCTTTCGATAAAGGCTAACGGGTCTCTTCCACCATTATATTGGACTGACCAGCTTCTTATTTGAGGCATGGTTGGAGCATTAAGTATTGTTAAAACTGGTACTAGTGAGTTGCTCATTCTTCCTTCTACACTGAAATTGGTACTTGTTCTTGTATGATTTTGTGCTAGGATTGTTAACTCATTGTGGGTGACTGAGTCGTAGTTCCCTTCTTCAATGAAATTAGTCATGCGTCGGCGTAGTTCTTCCATTGTTCCCGTTGTATTTAACTGAAAGTTTTCTAATTGTTTACTAAGTTCATCTTTGCGAATATTATAGACCTGTGGCGACGCAGTAGTCTGTGAATTATTTGAAATTTATATGTAAAATTCAATGTAAAATATATTCAGTTTATTAATTTGTTTTAAGGAAAACGTTTTCAATTTTGTTCTTAAATAAAGTTGTTTATTGTTGTTAAATTTTCGTGTCTTTATCTATTAGCAAAGTGTGGAGTCCTTTGCTAAAGTGGTGACCCCGACGTGATCAGAACAAACGGTTACGTCCACCGAAATTAGTTGAACAATATTTTTGCAAGTAACATTTTCAAGCAGCATGTCTTTGTCGACGGTTAACGAAGCCGCAGCGGTCCAGCGGGAGAGTGAGTTATCAGAAGGTAATCTGAGTCGCGTGTCCGTCAAGGTACCGCCATTTTGGCACGAACGACCAGAAATTTGGTTAGCGCAAATCGAGGCGCAGTTTGCAGTCGCCGCTATAACTAGGGACGTTACGAAATTCAATACTGTCGTCGCAGCGATCGAGTCCAGTGTCATTGCTGATGTAGCCGATGCTGTTTTACACCCGCCTGCAACTGGTAAATACAATTACTTGAAGAACCAGATTATAGAGCGGTTTGGTGAAAGTGAGCAACGCAAGATCCAGAGGCTCCTTTCTGAGATCGAATTAGGAGATCGTCGACCATCGCAGTTGTTGAATGAGCTGACAGCACTAGCGAAGGATAAAGTTAGTAACGAATTCCTGAAGTCACTTTGGCTCCAACGTCTACCTCCGCAGGTACGTGCCATTTTACAAACATCAAGTGTTGACCTGGTAGAATTAGCTAAACTGGCCGATAGAATTTGTAAAGCTGGCGATTATCATTAAATAGCTGCAGCGTCATCTAGTGGAAGCAGCGTTTCGAACGAGACAGCCATGTTGTGCCAGCGTTTGGATCAAATTGAGCAGCGGTTAAACAGATTGGATTTTGGTGGGCGCCAGCCATCGATAACGCAACAGCCCTCACGCAGAAAGAGCCGAACGCGATCGCAGTCCTCAAACCACTCCGGTTGGTGCTGGTTTCATAGTAGGTTCGGGGAGCAAGCACGCAGATGTCGTCAGCCATGCACGTATACATCTAATGCAAAGTCAAAAAACTAAGCATGCCGCAATCGACGTCGAGCCGATTGGAGGGCAACGTAATTATAGCTCGACTGACAATACGAGATCCGGCGACGTCCACCGCATTTCTTATCGACACCGGAGCGGATCTTTCTGTACTACCGAAAAAATATGGTATCAAACGAGGTAAGTCAGTTGTTTCATTATTACCCAGCTTGTTTGCTGCTAATGGCACGCCGATACGCGCATACGGCACCAAACGTTTGTCGTTACCCCTTGGTTTAAAGCGCGATTTCCCATGGACGTTTGTGATGGCGGATGTTAACTATCCCATAGTCGGCGCAGATTTCCGATGTACCGAAAACGGCGATTACTACACCTTTTGGGTTATTCGAGTTCCGTAAGCTGCTTTGCGTTGCCATAACTCTAATGACTGGACGCGCACTCTCCCATTGATTCTGCTGGGGTTGCGGACTACCCTAAAGGAAGATCTAGGCGTCAGTTCTGCTGAAATGTTGTATGGAAACCCGTTACGTGTTCCTGGACAGCTATTGTTACAGAAATGCCAAAAATCAGGTGAAACCGATTTCGTTTCAACACTTCGTAAAGCATTGGCTCAGCTGAGGACAATCAACGGCAGCAGACATGGACATCATCCAGTATATGTTTCTAGCGATCTGCAAACCAGTAAGTTTGTATTCGTGCGTGTCGATCGGGTGAGAGCTCCTTTGGAACAGCCTTATGAAGGACCGTTTCAAGTACTGCAACGAGGTGAGAAAAATTTCGTAATTAACAGAAGAGGGAGCAGGTGCACCGTCGCATTAGACAGGTTAAAACCAGCTTATTTTACTAACGATGAAGACGTCGGCAAGCAGTTTTCGCCATCGTCCGTAGTCAGTCATGAGCGGAAGCATGCACTCGAGAAGAGGGTTCCTAAACCGTCAGTCGATTCCTCAAAGGTTACGCGTTCTGGCCGAGCAGTGCATTTCCCAGCGAAGCTGTGTGACTACCGCGAGTAACATTATTAACTTCTCTTCATGCGTAGCGCGCCGTCGCCCAAACTCCGTCGCTAGGAGGGAGGTACTGTGGCGACGCAGTAGTCTGTGAATTATTTGAAATTTAAATGTAAAATATATTCAGTTCATTAATTTGTTTTAAGGAAAACGTTTCCAATTTTGTTCTTAAATAAAGTTGTTTATTGTTGTTAAATTTTCGTGTCTTTATCTATTAGCAAAGTGTGGAGTCCTTTGCTAAAGACGCATGATTTATTTGGTGTTGGAGATCTTTGAGCTTCGTGAACATTTTGTAGGACCTCCGCTTTCAGTTCTGTACTGTTTGATGTGTTAGGGGCAAGAGTATCCATGGTTGGTTTCGCACATTTTTGTTTGGGTATTTATTTTTACCTATATCAGTATTTATTTGAGAAGTCTGTCGGTATCTGCTCGAGCACCAATTGTAACGACACGAATTTTCCGTTTCGTTATTTCCTTTGCCGGGGTAACCTCAGCCTCTTCCAGGAGTCGTTACAATAAATTAATATTTACAAGAATCGGACTTCTCAAATAAAAGATTGTGATTAGATTATAGTTTTCAGAACTATTTATTTATTAAAAAAAAATTCAATAATATATATATATATAAAAAGAAAGAAATTAAATGCAATAATTATTATTATTATGAACGGAAAAATTATTATTATGACTGGGACGGCACATCAGTGGCAAATGATTCTTTGAAAACTCTCAACGGGGTTACTTCCAATGACTACTTCGGTGAGATTCCAAATGGTCTTTTCTGGTCTTGTAGTTGGCTTCTATGTTCACCTGTTTGAAAAAAAGAATATTAAGGAATATACGCTTTATTTATTTAATATACATATAATGATGTCTAAGCGCGCTGACTTAAAACCGCCTTACGCTCGTAAACTATTATATATATACTTTTGTACTAGGTTATACACTTTGACTTAACACCGCCTTTGTGTCAGATAATATTTTATTGTATTATTTTATTAGTTGACATACCATATAATGCCACTCAGTGATCATACAAGACTCACTACCCTTTACAAAAATGCGTCGTCTTTTATACAGATCAGACGAGCTTTTTGTGTAGCGCACATACAATTGTTTTCTGCTGTTTTGTGGAGTTTTGTTTATTTTCCCGTTTGCATGCCTTGTTTCCGTACGTTCTTTAAATTGTGCGCTCAGCAGATCTTGTCTATCTCTTTGCGGCGAATTTCTATTGACGTTTCTGACGTTTGTTTGTTATGTTTTGATTTTATAATTCTCGTAACTTTTCGTGTGGTGTTTCTTTTTATATTTAAAAATTTGTTAATAATTTCTAATAATAAATTAATAGTTTAATAATAATAATTTTAATAATTTGGATTAAAAGTTGTGGTAAACATTAGCAAGTGTGTATTTATACTTTAACTGAATACTTTTATATTTACATTTCTCTTTCTTTAGTTCCACGTTTTGCAGTAGTGTGCAGTGTAGGCAGCTGTTATTGAAATTTTTGTGCAAAGGCCAATTAAAACAAGGTATGTATTAGATTTAAAAATAAAATCCATTTTTTTAATTTTAATTCATTTATTTCAGATTTTTCTACTTTTTTCTTGTACAATAATTCAAAACAATTTATTTGGACTAAACGCTGTGTGTATTTTTGCCCTAAATACGATGTGTGTATGTAGGGCAAAATTTACTTATGTAAATTTACATAAATTTACTTATGTAAATTTACATAAGTAAATTTTGCCCTTACAAGCTGAGTCCCCAAAATCTCAACTCTCAATTGAATAAACCAAAAAAGTATAATAACTTGACCATACCCGACACCCAAAATCGTTTTTCCCTACTTAATAATGATGAAGAAGCGCCTAATGTCGAAACCAATGAACCCAAAAAAAGTCCAAAACCGCCTCCAATTTCTCTTCTCGTATGTGCTATTGGAAATAAAAACTTCCATGTAGTCCCCCTCAATGCCGAAAATGATTTTCGTATTGGAACAGCTCTACTCGAAAAAAATAAGAAACTCTTTTACACATATCAACTGAAAAGCAGTAAGGGGCTTGTTGTTGTTTTAAAAGGCGTCGAATCTAATGTAAGCACAGAAGAAATCAAAGAAGCTTTGCACTTAGTCGGTTTTAAAGTCAAAAACATTCACAACATAATAAACAAAAATAAAATTCTTCAGCCTCTCTTTAAAATTGAATTAGAACCAGAAAAAACAAAATTCATCCAATATATGAGCTTCGTTACTTATTGCACAGAAAAATAACCATTGAAGAACCACACAAACGTACAAATATAGTATAAAAATGGAAATAATGTTGTTATTAAATGCAAAAACTGCCAAGGTTCTCACACGGTTAAGTTACGCAAACGTTATGAAAAGCTCTTCTAACATACCAAGCAATATTACTCTATTGAACTATCACCCTACAGACGGTGATTGTTCAATTAGCGAACTCTGTTTCACAAATGAATCAACTTATGATTTCAATGCAAACTGTTATATTTAGTCACTTCGCAAGACGAGTTTACTTAAGACTAACTTTATTTTTTAAAATCAATTCTTAAAATTAAAACAATATTAATGTATAGAGCTTTTAAAGACTAAAATAAGATTAATGTATAGAGCTTTTAAAGAGAGCTCTATATACTTCGTTATAATAGTTATAACATTTCTCCTCCCTAAATTTAGAATTTCTAAAATTTATTAATTACATACAATACATTTTTAATTTACTTAAGTTAATTAATTATAATTTTCAATTCAATATTTTAATTCAATTTATAATTCAATTTATAATTCAATTTCTAATTTAAATAAATAAAATTCATTTATCCTCGAACTCCGCTGTATAGGAGTTCGAGGACGCGTACTACGACGTAGTTCTTCGAATGCATTTGAAGGATTAACAGCTGACTTTTCAGGCTCTGGAATATGACCTTGTGATGATATTGTTTGCCATGTCAATTCTTGAGGTTGAATATTATTTTCTTGGTTATTTTGGTTATTGGTATCACAACGCTTTAACTGGTTTTGATGGCGTTTATAACAACCAGTTGCTGTTTGAACGATATATACTTTTCTCCCTAGTTGTTTCTTCAGACCTTCAATTACGAAAATTGATTTCAAAGCTATAATTGTATGAGCGGAAGTTGTGCCAAATAAACGAATAATATATGGAAATTGCGAAAAAGCATCCACACAAATAAGCCACATTGCATTGAAAACAGGTTCTGCGAAGTCTATATGGATGCGATCCCATGGTGCTTCAGGTGTCGGCCAGGATGCATATGTTCTTTTGGGGCTAGCACTATTTATACAACAAATAGTACACTTTGCGGCTTCTCGTTCGATATCTTTATCTATGCCGACCCACCAGCAGTGTTGACGTGCTAATTGCTTCATTTTTATTACGCCCCAGTGTCCTTCATGCAAAAGTCGCAAAACAATTTTTTGTAAAGCCTTCGGTATTATTACACGAGTGGCATTACCCTGTAGACAAAGTAACCCCTGTTCTATTGTCAATTGAAGCTTACGAGTAAAGTAAGGCATTAACTCGCCATTTTTTAACTTTATAGGCCAACCTTCACTGACAAATTTTTTAACACGGTTGTATAGATAATCACTTGCTGCATGCTTTTGTATTTGATTATGGTTTATTGGCAGATTCATCCCTTCTACATTATTGCACCACTCCTGCTTATCAAAGTCCACATCTGGTCCCAGTGGTAATCGAGATAGTGCATCAGCATTTGCATGTTCTTTAGTACTACGATACTTAATATCATATTGGTATCCCATTAAAATAATAGCCCATCGCTGAAGGCGATTAGCAGTCATAACTGGCAGTTTTTTATTTTGATGGAAAAGACTTACCAATGGTTTGTGATCAGTTACTAGAATAAACTTTTGACCATATATATACTGATGAAAGCGTTGAACTGCAAAAACTATAGCAAGAGCTTCTTTTTCTATCTGACTATACTTTACTTGATGCTGATCCAATGTTTTTGATGCAAAAGCAATTGGTTTTTCAGAACCATCGGCCAAAATGTGAGATAATATAGTACCGATTCCATATGACGACGCATCAGCAGCAACATGTAATTGTAAATCTTCCCGATAATGTGCTAATTCAGTAGCCTTTATAATTAAATTTTTTAATTGCATAAATGCGCGATTTTGCTCGGTATCCCAACGGAAAGGTACATCTTTACGTCGCAACATATTAATCGACGCGGCAATTTGAGAATAATTTGGGATAAAATTGTGATAATAATTTATTTTTCCCATGAAGGATTCAACTTCTTTTAAATTGTTTTAAGAGTTTTAAGTTCTTTTACCGCTTTTACACCGGATTCATCGGGTAGAATGCCGGAAGCTGTTATTTGACGCCCCAAATACACAATTTTTTCTTGTAAAAATAAACAGTTTTCTTTTTTACACCGAATTCCATTTTCTTTTAAAATTGTTAATACACTTTTCACACGTTTGATATGTTCTTCGGTACTAGAAGCGGTTATAATAATATCATCTAAAAAATTTGCACAGCCTTCTTGATTTTTTAATAATTGCTCTAAGTACCTTTGAAAAATTGCAGGCGCACTAGCAATACCGTACGGAAGACGTTGGTACTGAAAAAGACCGATTGGAGTATTTATTACTAACACTTTTTTAGTTTCATCATCTAGCTCCATTTGCAAATAAGCGTCTTTCAAATCTATTTTTGTAAACAGTTTCCTGTACCGAATAGTGTGAAATAAACTT